CGCACGCACGCACGCACGACGCACGCACGCACGCACGCACGCACGCACGCACGCACGCACGCACACACACACACACACACACACACACACACACACGCGCGCGCACACAGACAGACACACACCTCACAACTGCAGACGATGCACCTCCCCCAGGGCAGCCGCAGACTCCACACAACGTCTGACGACTTGCGCTCATGCAAAGACATGCTACAACTCATGCCCTCCCCCACTCCACGAGGGACACGGGCGAATTCGCGTCTTCCCGATTGTAGCGGAAGAGGTCGCCAGACTCCAGAAGGCGCATAACCTGCCGACGGGTCGGGTCCGATTGTCATCCTTCTGAATACACGTCTGCTCTCCGTTCCCCTTTACTTCCTCCTCCTGTAATGTCCTTACTGATGCTGCCCAAGCTCCTGATCCCCCCACCCCCCACTCCTCCTGCTCCTCCTGCTCCTCGTGGCTTGGATACTTACACCATTCAAGGCCAGACTCCGAAACACCGCCTCCCCAACCTGCACATGCTTCTCCACATCCTGCTTTTCGGAGTGACAACCGACTGCGTTGCACAGCAGCCCACGAAGTGTCCGCTAACGGACAGCAGATGAAGACACAGGCTGCGAACAATGTTGGACATGACCGAAGTGGAACCAGCGTATAGCTGCACAACAAGGTCATGGTCCACATGAGGAGGCAAGCAAAGTGTTACAACGGATCACAAAAATATGAGCCTGCACGATGTCTATATTCCTCGTGCCCCTACCCCCATCATCATTAGACCATCTGCGTGGATCCGTATTCATACGTCCTTCTTCATGTATGCTACCTCTCTTTTTCCTTCCTCCTCCTCCTTACAGACCTTACAGACCTTGGCGCGCCTGGTCAATCCATGATCGGCCGACGCCCTACCACAATTAGTCGCTGTCGTCGGATAGGATCCTGCCTCCGAAGGGTGGGAGCAGGGGCGCTTCGTCCTCTTCCTCCAGGAGCCGCGACCGCACCAGAGCGAGATGCTGGGCTGCGGTGCGGGCAGATTCACTCTGCCCAGGGCTAACAGGGTCTGGGTCACCACCAGGAACGGGGCCAGACGAGGACGAGGCAGACGACAGAGGATAAAACGGGAGGGACGACAAAGGCAGGGAAGGGCCCAGCCTGTAGTTAGTCCCAGGGTACAGTCCTCGGAGAAGTTTGCTCCTTTCAGCACTTCTCACAGGGGGATCACAATCGCTGAGGAGCCTAGTCCCCGCGCGTACACACGCGATCCCTCCACATGCAACGCAAAAGATTAACGGCACATCCGTTTCCACCAGCCGCGCCCAGTGCAACTTGTGCCGCGCCCCACCACCCCCCCGCAAGAGCGAAACCAGCGTGGGATTGGGGTTGGCGCACTGGGTGGTGGTAACAGGTGTGATGGCTCGCAAGCACCTCCTGCACCAATAACCCTTTCCATGGGGGACTGGGAGGTGGGTGGAGGGTGCTCTGGGCGCTTTGGCCCGCACGGGCCGATTCACACCTTTGAACACTTTCTCAAACTGGGGCCACACCGACAGGATCGCGACCAATCCTGCAGCTAGGGAGGCGTATTCTGCCATCCCTTCTTCAAAAAGCGAAACTTCCCCTGAACTGAGACAATGAATTCTGGCTCCCTGCTTGGCCCAATGATCCACCGCAGTCGAGCCAGAGATGGCGCACCCATCCTCAAAACTGGTAGCACTCTCCGTGCTGCGGTGGGCCTTGACCTTCGTGAGGGAGGGCCAATCTTCACAGTGCCTACTGATCTCCCGCCCGAAGAAATGAAGCCTGGAAGACCCTTCCAAAACCTTCCGAGGAGACCTCGACCCAGACACCAACGCCGCACAATCAACCGAGATAGGTTTTGGCTGGGCCTCCTCTTGCTGTGCCCTAAGAATAGCAACTGCTAGGCCTGCATGCTCGGCATCGGCCGATTGCTGAGCAAACTCCTTAGGGAGGGGTCCGTAGATCCCTCTGACAGGTCTCTCCCCATCCATGTGAACTACAGCGAGGCCAGCCCTCGCGATTTCGGGAAAGTCCCCGTGAAAGCAGGACCCGTCCGTAAATAGGGTGTCCCCAGGCTGAAACCTAAACGGCTCACAGGGCACCCCTTCTCCTTCGAAAAACCTCAAATCCCAGTCCTGGGCGGGCTCGGGAAGGTCAGGGAAGGGGGCCCAAAGACGACTGAAAAGACACGACCCTGGCCCTGCAGCCAGGTCCTGGTCGACAAGCTCCTGGCAGAAATGTTCCTTCCTAGCAACTACCGCTGGCCTGCGCGTGCAAGTCCAGCACCTGTGCCACACCGTGCCTCGCTCACCACAGTGCGGGCAGATATCCGACACCGCATAGCCCCACTTGGACATGGAAGCTCATGTAGGCATCGATCCTGCTAAAAGTTGAAAGAACACATGACGCTGGCCTCCATCCAGGGCTTTTGCTACTCTCTGAATCGCGGGTAGCCGCAGCCCTATGGACAAAATCTCATGCTCAACACCTGGGCTCGGCAGGTGCTTGAGAAGGTACCTCCTAAGATACACAGCCTGGAGATCACGGGTGAAAGCATCAGCCACTTGGGCAGGTGGCCTTTCCGTGAGGACCCACTTGAATCCAGACCTGGACACAAAAGTAGCTGGACCCTCCCAAGACCAACCGCCAGCTTCCAACCACAACAGCATGGCCGAGATCGGGCCACGCGTCCTATACAACCACGGCTTCCGCTGGGTGGTCTGGAGGGTGGCAACAGCGCTGTGAAACACTCTACTTAGTTGGCCTGGGGTCAGGGCGTCACTGTGTCGAGGCCGCGCAAAGCTAGAGGGCTCACTGGAGTGCCACCATTCCCACGCATACCGTTTGAGAGGTCCTGAGGCTAGGCAGAGGGGGTCTCCAAGATGCTTGCGCACAGCCCACATGAGGTCCAAGTTGCAGCCCTTCTTACTAATACCTGAGGCCCTTGCAGAGGCCCTCCTCAAATGAAGAATCTCAGTAGGCGTAACCCCCATGCACCTCCATCCCATAAGATACAGCACTGAGGCACCCACTTTTGAACAGTCGGGCACGTACACGCCGAGACACCTTCAAGAACGCCAGTCGCTTCGTACGGGCCCGAAAGATCCGAAACCTCTTCTTGCGAATAGCCCGAGCTAAAGGTGCGTGTAGGTGTTTGCCCGCCGAGAACGCCACGCCAAGATTTACTGGGGCATAAGCCCTGGTGCCACTTAGTTGACCCAGAGCCTCGCGGATGTCCTTCACGAGCCTCAACGAATTTCCCGTCACCATCATTTTCCTATCGGCAAGCGGGACACGGAGGGTGGAGGAGATATAGTAGGCCATGGTCGTGGCCCACGCCTTGAGGTTGGCCACGCAGGCGCGCCCGCTCTCGCGCCACGAGTGAAACGAGAGATCGTCGATGTGCAGCCCGAGTCCTGTGTCGGGCACACCTGTAGACCTCTGAACGGAAGGTAACATGAAAGCTTTGGCCTCGTAGGTGGCTGAGGTGCTACCCGCAAGGTTCCCCTGAGTAGGAGTGATCCCCTCCGAGTACGCGCCATCTAATCACAGGTACCATGCCCACCGATAGGTGGAAATCTTATAAATCAGAACGCGGAGGGGGAAGTGACACGAAAAACCTTGATTCACCAACTCCTGATGTCCTATGTGCTCGTAGAACTGGAGGAGGTCCCAAAGCAACGCCCCATAGTGAACTTTGGTCCCTGAAGCTAGTTCTGCCTGGACACTTTGACGCCAAACAATGCCCAGGCAGCTACGGCCCTGCCCCATGGAGAACTGCGGCCCGAACCCCACATCGCATTCCCAACGACGACAAGGATCCCGATGGGTCTTTCCGTGAAGCCTTTCGAAAGCATTGCAGTGGCCAGTGGCCCTTCTGCCTTTGTCGGGACGGCCCATCAAAAAGACAACCAACTGTTGCATAGAAGACGGGGCCTGACCTACCACATCCATAAGATGATAAAGCCAAGACACAACTCCCAAAGACTCCAGACTCAACATCCCAAAGTGACGTGGATGAAACCCATCTGGGCAACAAGTAAACTTTGCAAACCGCGACCCAATGTGCTGAAGTTGTTCTGGAGGGACCGGGCCCGGGACCGGCACCGATACTGCCGGGAGCTCGAGAGGAGGCTGAACAGAACTGGCATCGGCAGCAGCAGCCCAGGCTTGCCTCCACAACTTGATCGCTGCGCGGAGGCGAACTGGCACAGAACTGGAATACGCACCGCCCTCCTCCGCAACTTCCTCGCGAAGTGGCACTCCCGAGCGGAGAAAAGAATAAGCTCGCCTTCCACCATTGCTGACAGCAACTCCACTCCATTCCTCCCATGCTGCTCTGGCCTTGCTCCTATCCTCCAACTGCCCCATGCGAAGAAAGACAATAACAAAAGGCAGACAGGCGTCGATGAAATGGACATGCTCCTCAGCCGACCTCTTGGCCTGTAAAAGCTGAGCACAGGTCGCCAAAAAGGGATGCCAGAACGAGATGCCTTGCCTCCAGTAGCGCCTGAAAGGGCCACCTCGCACCGGTAGCCTTTCCCACTGGCGCAACAGGACGTGGCGGTAGCCCCCCCTGCGCTCAGGGCTGGGGAAAAGGGCTCGCAATTCCTTGACCGCGAAACCACCCAATGAATGGCACGGCCAGGGAACGCACTTGAGTACTGCTGGTGGCCAAGAGGGTTCTAACCGAGACATCTTTGAACTCCAACTGAGACCCTCCGAGTAGCCCCTTGGGATTCGACACTTGTGTGATCTGCAGGAGCTCCTGCCACGCACGTTTACGCCATTCCAAGAGAACCTCCTCCAGAATGGTAACTCCCATCTCACGAGCATGACCCCAAATCACAGTGCCCATGCCGTTCCCGTCTAGCCGATGCTCCAAGAAATCCCGTAACTTGCCTTCTAAGTCCGAATAGCATGGCGGGGCCACTCTGGGCCCAATAGCTGGCTCAGCTGGGACCTTCTGGCACGCCTTGGGGACCCGAACTGCGATGTCCTGGCATGCTTGCATGAGCTGCACAGTGACTGGCCTATGCGGGCTGAAGGGGGCTGAAGTCCGTCTCTAGATCTGCCGAGGTGTGGCCCAACACACGGCTGATAATAAAATAATCGAGGTACGACGACGACCCTGGCACAACATGCGCAGGCACAGATGGAGCCCTGATGATTGCCCCTACCTGCGCCAGCGGAGCAACTGATGCCATCACACTAGGAGCAACATTGAAATCCCCTGCGACAATGAAAGGAACGCTGTGCTCAAAACAATCCTTCCATATGGCATTCATCACTCTGACGTTCTCCTCCTTCATCCCTTCCGAGTCCCGCAGATAAACAGAATACAGGGCCATCAGACCACAACCTGCACTGCGAAAGAACACACGCGAGACTCGCCCAGCAACAAGCGTAGATGAAGAGGTTGGGGGAACCACGTATCAAGATGCTTCCTCGCAATAATGAAAGTCCCTCCTGATCGGTTCCCAGCCTCCGTCAGAATACACTCGCTGCCGAAGACGCGCCAACCTGCCCCCTGCAGTCGCGCCTGCGTGCGCTGGTACAGGGCACCTGCAAGACGGCGTTCCTGCAAGAAACAAATGTCAGCATCCGTCCCGCGGACCAACTCGTTGAAACTAGGGGCCTTCCCCGGAATGGATTCCAGACCATCACACTCCCTGGACTCGGCAACCCAACTGGATCCGTTGAACGCCAGGAGCTTCAACGGCCGCAAAGCACAAACTCGACGCTTCCGACCGAGCGCTGGAGCTTGCCCCTGCAAGGGACGATTGAACGTCCCGCGTCCTGATACACTAGTTTCGACACTGCGGGCAGCAAAAGATGGGGAAGAGGGTTGTGGCAATCCTGCCACCTCGCCTGTCCTCGCCGAGGTAGACCCCCAAGGCCTAGGAGACCCACAGGGCACTGAGGAAGGTCCCCCCGTGAAGGAAGCAGACGACAACTCCGTTGAACCACACAAGGATGCTGGACCACTCCGTGGGGTTCGCGATGGCCACGGGCTCGCTGGTGACGCCGCCGAGGAAGCCATCGAACTGGCCGCTGTGGCAGGCACTGTGTCGTCATCCTGTTCAGCACTCCAGGCATATTGCTTAGAGGTCATCACCATCCTCTGCTCCAACGCCTTCCCAACCTGGTTGTGGGTGACGAAAGGCGACATTGATCCTCCCGCCTGGGCCTGGCGAGCGAAAACGGGGCTTCTTGCTGGCTTGCAGCAGCGCCTCCAGCAGACCACGCTTGACGGCATCGGAGCCGACGCCCGCAGCCATGCAAGCCTCCTCCAGATCGGCCTCATCCACCACCATCCCTGTGGCGGCGGGGGCAGCCGCAGCAGGCTGAGGCACAGGCTTGGGCGGTAGCATCTCCAAGATGTTCTGGTACTTGGCCTCAAGCGACTCGCGAAGCTCTCCTGCTTGTACACCTGCAAGCACATGCTGGAAATCTTCCAGCTGGCGGCGGAGTCCTCCCAAGTCAGGAAGGTCTGAAGCAAGTTGGTCAGCGTGTCGAAGACGTTCCGCGGCAGCGGCCTTGGTCTCCTCCATGGTTTTCCTCTCCGACACAATGGACTGCTCCAACTCTGCACGTTGGTTGGCCAGCGACTGCATCCGCTCCACCACCTTGGCCAGGTCCGCTTCGAGACGCTCGATCCGCTTCTCACGGCGATACTGATCTTGTTCCACTCGCTGCAGCACACGGGACGGGGGCAACTCGCTCTCCTTTGCCTGCTGGGCGGGCTCCCACGCGGCTGCAATGGCTGAACGAGCTTCTTGCGGCAAGGCGTCCTTGAACTTGCTTGAGCAAAGTTGCTGCATACGGTGGAGCTCCTCCAAGGCACCAAGGGGCTTCCCACCCGACTGATGGGCACCACCACGTCCTCGAGAGCCCAACAATGAGTCCCTGGGGCGCCCTCCCTTGCCACCACCCTGCAAGCCGCCAGACCAAGCATGCCCTCCGACACGACGCCAAGGTGCACGCGCCCATGCACCAGAAGGAGCAGGCGGCTCAGCAGCGCCAAGACGAGGGAGAGCGCCACGACAGCGGAAGCAGAAGCGGAAGTGGCTCGGGTTCTTCTTGCATCCACAGGTGGGGCAGGCGGCGCCAGCATCCCCTCCTGAGTATTTCCCGCCTCCGCGGGTCATCAAACGAACTGCGGCGCGGGACTGGGCGAGACAGTGAAGCTCGCGGAAAGTGAAGATGGGCAAGGCCCACGAGAATGCGTCGGGCGCCCCCTCGATGGTTGTCGCACAGCGGCGGGAAACCTGCAAGCTCGAGCCCCCGCGACACGGGGTTCGAACTTGAGCCAAAATGGCTACGGTTCCTCCTCCTCCTCCTCCTCCTCCTCCTCCTCCTCCTCCTCATCCTCATCCTCCTCTTCCTCATCCTCCTCCTCCTCATCCTGCTCGACCGCCGCCGCCGCGACCCTTTCCTCCCATTCCTCCTCATCCTCATCCTCATGCCACCCCCCATTCCTCCTCCCCCACTCCTCCTCCGCCCACCTCAGCTTCCTCCGCATCCGCAGCCCCCATCTCACAGATCCACCCAGCCCTGCTCCTCCTCCTTCCCTCCTCCTTCCCTCATCCCTCTTCCTTCCCTCCTCCTTCCCTCATCCCTCTTCCTCCTTCCCTCCTTCCCTCCTCACCTGGATCCTCCTCACCTGGATCCTCCTTCCTGGATCCTCCACACCTGGACCTTCCCTCCTCCCTCCCTGGATCCTCCTTCCCTCATCCCTCCTCCGTCCCTCCTCCCTCCCTCATCCCTCTTCCTTGTAACCAACTCCCTCTCGCAAACCCAGGCGCCTCGGCAGGCCGGGCTGGCACAGGCCCCGAGGCGGCTCCAGGTGGCCACCGAGCCTCCCACGGGAAGCCCCAGAAGGCAATAAGCTTCCAAAGTCCTGAAGGAGTTCCAATGTTGATGTTTGCCTTCTCGCCGTGTCGCCTCCGATAGGCTGCTCAGGCCTCACGACGGCTCCACGATCGCCCCCGAGGGAGCCCTGAAAGTGGACCGGAGGCGCTCCGAGACAGCCCCGCAGGCCCCCAAGAGCGACACAAGAACGTCCCAAGAGGACCACCCAAGGTGCGGATTGCTGGGCTCCAGACGGGGGACCCTAAGCTAAGACCCCCGCTTCGAGTAGGAGATCGACTACAGAATTGGTGCACCCCAAAAACTGTTCTCGTCGACTCTACGAAGAATACGTAGTGCGCGTAGATCTGCGGGGCATTCGAAGCACTTCTCATAGATTCGACTGAAACTCAAGTCTGGGCTAAACTACTTATGCAGTCGACCGCCTACTCGAGCTGCTTGGATCGATGGCCTCCAGGATGGCTCCAAGAGACTCCCGATGGCTCCAGGAGGGCCTCCACAGCCCCCATGAGGAACCCAAAGGCCCCAGGAAGGCCTCACGAAGGCTCTCCGACGGGCCCCCCGAGAGGGCTCCACAAGGACTCCAAGAGGCCATCCAGATGTCCCCAGAGGTCTTCAAGCTCAGCGTTGCTCGAGTGGGAGATCGACTACGGCATTGATTTAGACTCAAGTTGAACTTCTCGTCGAATCCTCAAACCATGTAGAATGTTCGGACATGTACGAGAACTGTTGTTTGATTCGACTAAAAACTTGTATAAAAATGGATTATGTTGTCGATATCCTACTCAGATAGCTGACCATATTGTTTCAATGGTATGCTGAGAACACGGGAAGAGTAAGTGCTTACATTCCCCCGTCCACCTTTCGGGGGTCAGTTGCATGGCGTGAGCCCCTCGGGTAACCCCTCTTCGTCGCAGCAACAGATGCGTTGCTAGGGTGGGCCAGGCGATTGGCCTGAGAGTTCCTCACCATCTTTTGTGAGATTGAGGCGCAGCAGTGAGGATGAGATTGAGGCCGGGTGGCTTTTGAATGGTGCTCTCGCCTGAGCAGTGCGCACACTCGCCCTACTCGCTGTCAGCGGCTGCATGGATGGAGGATGGCCCCTTTCCAAAACGTGACACTCGCCATAGTGCCTCGTACATTCGTCGTATAAACTGCCAACAGTTGTAGGGCGGCTCTCTAACTGGGGCTCTCGCTTGAGAGACCCTGAATTCGAATCACCAGAAATCGAAAAAACGCATGTTACGCAAATAGATGGCGGTTCCTCTTCAAATCGGGGTATCGATTGAGACTTCCGACGAGAACAATATGCTTACATGTGTGCCACAATTACCTGGAGGGGGCAGCTCCTTTTCAAAACGAAGCTCCGGCTGGTCCTACCTCTGTGCACGTCTTACAAGCAGAAGGAGAAGGCAGGAACCTTTTCGGAACAGGACTCCCGTGGAATGGCGGGCCCACGGGGCCCTCGCTATAACGGGAGCGCTTCCCATATTGAGCAGGAATGCGGGTGGGAATTATGAGGAGGGGACTTGAGACGGGTGGGTGTATTGCAGCATCGCAGATGCATCCTGAGTTTACTCAGCTCTTCATCCTCCTCCTTCTCCTCCACCCCATCCTCCTCTTGGTCACAGGAGCTCACCCACTGGCCTCAGCGAAGCAGCACTCAGAAAAATAGGTGGGAGCTCGGTGGCGAAATCGGCCGGCCCAACGGGCCCCAGGCCACTGGCACTCCAAGCAACTCTCGCGAGGGGGCCCAGCGCTGGCGGTGCGGTCACTCCGCTGCGTTCCAGCGCACGCTGCGTCGCAGCGGTGGCGCAGTCATAACGCGAGCGCCCAGGGTGCACACCCCGCTGCTGCAGCGCCACTCGACTAGAGGCCTCCCGAGTGGGGCCCGAGGCGGTGGCTTCGGAGGATCGCGCCGGCGATGCATCGGCGACGTGGGCGCGGAGAAAGTCGGGCTCTACATCGAAACCCATCGCCGATGCAGCGGGGATGCGGCACGATCCTTCGACCCCATCTTCTTCGACCCCATTGGGCGACCTGGATCGAACCCCGCTGCTGAGGCGGCGGCCACTGCTGGCGCCCTCCAGAGCTTAAGATATGCCAGCATCCCTTGCGCAGGCTGCAAATGCGCCGTAGGCCCCGCGCCAGCCGTAGTGCCAGACATGGGCAGGGGCACTGCAACGGGCACCGCCGCTGGCACGAGCATGAAGGAAGGCAAGGTTCGGGACGGAAGAGGCGGAGGGAATGGAGGACGACTGACAGCAGTGGAACAGAGAGAGCCTCTCCGAACTAACACCTCGGAGAGGGAGGCCCGACATAAGCTCCACTCCTGTATCTGCTCGCCCTCCCCATCCCCCAAATGCAGGGCCTCCTTCTGCTCCTTCTGGTCCACAGGCTCCGGGGCGTTGAAGCTCTTGAATATGCGGGGGTTTGCGCCGCGCTGGGAGCCCTGTGGCGTTGAGGGAGGCGTTCTCCTCGTCCCTCCCCCCTCATTCCCATTGCTTCCCTCCCTTCGCTCACGCCCACGCGCCCGTCTCGGCATTCGTCCTCCTGGCCCACCACCTCGCAAACGTCTATCAAGACCCCCGCCCCAACCGTCAGTGTCATCATCACCACGTCACCTATATAATACACATTTACATATACACATATACATACATATATTATATGCATTTACAAATACATAAACATATACATATACATATACACATACATATACACATGCACACACATACATATATATATATATATATATATATATATCGTTTTGGTCGCGCATTCGCCACTGGTTAAGATCTCGCAGCTGTGCCAGACAGCTGTGTTGAGGTTTTAACGCAGCGGGGCCCCCCGCTACTCGCACCACCCTCGCGCGCCCAGGACACGTGAGAGTTCGAGCCAGACCGAAACCACGAGGATCTCGGCGCCCGAACCACGGACCCACGGAGCGGCCCAGGGGTCCCAAGGCCGAGGGCACGGTACAAGCGGGGGGCCCGCCACCGAAGGAAAAAACTCTCCAGGGTGGCCGCCGCGGCCTCTCTCCTACCTGCTTGGGTGGTGTGGGATGGCAGAGCAAGAAAGCTGCGAGATAAGATCGGCGATTTCTGCGGGACCCCCGAGATACCCCAATGACCTGTAGTCATAAGTCTGATCTCGTTTTGGTCGCGCATTCGCCACTGGTTAAGATCTCGCAGCTGTGCCAGACAGCTGTGTTGAGGTTTTAACGCAGCGGGGCCCCCCGCTACTCGCACCACCCTCGCGCGCCCAGGACACGTGAGAGTTCGAGCCAGACCGAAACCACGAGGATCTCGGCGCCCGAACCACGGACCCACGGAGCGGCCCAGGGGCCCCAAGGCCGAGGGCACGGTACAAGCGGGGGGCCCGCCACCGAAGGAAAAAACTCTCCAGGGTGGCCGCCGCGGCCTCTCCATACACACCTTTTACTGGCTATAGCCGAAATTCAGTAGCATTAGGCCAAGCTGACCCAATATATCTTTCGAGAGCTGGTTCATTGAGACATCCACGAGGTCGGCGACAGCCTCCTCGATATACACACGTGCAGAAGTCACGGCACTCCATCTCCCACGCTGCATTGTGCGCTCGAGATTGGCGCCCAAAAGAAAGTCATGGCAGGCGCCTCCTCGCCTGAAGCTGCACCAGGACCAGCGCGCAGGCGGGATCGAGGCGACAGCGAGGAGCGACTTCAGGAGCCGCTGGAGCTGCACGTACGTGTACGGGCACAGATGGTCCGTGGGCTGGGCGCGCTCCGCAGCCACCCGCAGCAAGTTCACTGCGACGGGCGTTCGCACCACAACGAACTGCACTTTGCCGGTCCTGACGCCCATCTTCGTTTCTGACAGGCGCAGTATGACGCCGCCCTCGGCGAACGTGATATCATCATATGTAAGATCACGCAGCTCTTTGGTCCGAAGCATCGCATCAAACGTGACGAGGACCAGGGCAGCCAGCAGAGGCTGGCCGACCGAGACTGCAGCACCTGCAAGCCCGAGCGCCATCTCGGGGCTGGCCGGATAGGCGCGATGGATGGGCGCCAGCTTCTGCCACGTCTTGACCAGGGACCACGCAAAGGGCAGGGCCGTGCGGAGCTCGGGGGCGAAGAAGAGGCAACCGGCGAGTGCATAGCGCCCATGGCTGAGCGTGCCCTCGTTCGCCCACTGGTCCTCGACGTAGGCGCCCAGCGCGCTGTCTGCCTCGGCCGAGCTGTTCAGCGGGAAGCCACCCTCGATGGCGAAGGCGAGGAACTCCGCGACGGCGATACGGTACCTCTTGAGCGTGACCGCGCTGACCCTGAGATCAGAGAGCCTCTGGGAGTCTCGCAACCGCTGGAGCCTCTGAGCTTGCGGCGAGAGCCTCTTAGCTGCCACACCTTTCGGGATGGCGCGTCGGCGGGGTTGTCCTCCGACGCGATGTAGCCAAGCATGACGTAGCAGCCTGTCGCCCAGCACAAGGCCCCCCAGCGCTTGACGTGCATCCGCAGGACCCTGCTGCTGCTGCGGCCCTTTGTCAGCACCGAAGCGGCGACTTGGCTGTCGATCAGGTGTAGCATGCGCCTGGGGCGGCCCGTGCCCGACCGCAGCCTCCACTTGATGGTGTTCACGGCCGCCTGGATCTCGAGGGCGTTGATGTGCTTCCCGATTCCAGCACGCCAACGGTAACTTGAGATCACCTTCCACATCCAAACGTTGGGCTCGAGCGACACGCGCGGCCACGCGCGGTGCCGGAACGGGAGGTGCACGTCCAAGCGCACGTCCGTGCCCCCTCTCTCTGCGATAGACAGGTAGTGCCGCACGAGCTGCTCCGCCTCGGGCTCGTACTGGTAGTCGTCGCCCTGGTGGTAGATTGCGCTGTCGTTCCACGGGGCCCTGCACTTGCCCGTGTGGCACAGGGCATGGGGCTCCCACAGCTGTGGCTGGAACTCGTCGGCGACCAGGGAGTGCTGCAGCAGCCATGAGACCGCATAGACTGAGAAGCTATTCCCAAGCAGGAAGCAGCGCGTGGTCTCGAGGCTCGAGCCAGACCCGTCTTTTACGGCACACTCGGTGTATCCTCGATCGAACCCCAAGAGGACCTCTCTCTCTTCTGCCGACGGGGGGCGGAGCTCCATGGTGGCCTCATGCTGGAGTAGGCAGGCGTTCTCGTAAAGGCCGACGTGGTAACGATGATCGTCCTTTTTCCAACGAGCCTTCGCCTCGGGGCTGGCCCGAGCAATTCCAGCAGGTCGAGTAGGCTGTAACAAAGAGGGCCTAGCACAGACTAGCGTCGGCACAGGCAGCGAGCCACCATTCCAGATCCAGCCAGGGGAGGTCCAGGGCAGCTCCACGCGCGCCGCGCCGTCGGAGATGACATCGACGAAGTGCCCCCTGTCCTGGTAGCTATAGCCCTTGCACGGCAGCAACCGCCACGAGAGCCAGTACAACCGCGGCCTTCTGTTGGGGACCAGGCAACTGCTGCAGAACCGATATGGTGTGACCTGGAGCTCGCTAGAGATGCGCTCGATGTCCTCGAGGGGCATGGAGGCGACGTTCTCGATGAGGGAGCGGACCTTCCCAGGGAACGCGGCGTTCAGCAGCCCCAGGATTCGCGGCATCTCGCGAAAGAGTGCGCTCTTCTGGCCCTCGAGCCCCCTCCTGCCGAACATCAGCCTCGACAGGTCTCGGCATGGACTGCCGGCGCCACAGTAGACCACGTCGACAATCCCGCCGAAGAGCTGGACCAGCTTGTCAATGCGTTGAGTCCCAACGTCTCTGATGTTCCCCCAGTCGATGAGGCCGGGCCACCTCTTCCTGACGACCCTGCGCGCGCTGGGGTCAACCTCCGACGAGACGTAGCCAATGATTTTCGTGCGGAGCCTTGAGAGCGAGACGATCATGCCCCCGATGCCGTCGAACAGCCCTATGACCAGGACAGCAGGTATCCGATCCCCAGCAGGGGGCGGCAAACCAGGGTTCCTCGACTCCCACGCTCGCCAAAGCGACGCCTCCCCCAGCAGCAGACGGCCCGCCATGAGGTGTTGCCTGCCCTCCTGGCCTGCAGCGGCAGCAGCCGTCAGCTTCGAGAGGGCCTCGGGGCACAGCCTCAGCGACGTGCAGGCGCCTCCACCATCCTCCGAGGCGTCAGAGCAGGTAACCCTCGCATCGACCTCCGCGCGAAGGTCCGTGAAGGCAAGCGGGAGGAGGCCCACGCCGCTGAGGATCTCCTCGTTCATCTCCGAGTTGACCCAGCCAGAGTGAGTGCCATCCGCGAACTTCCAGACCTCGTTGAGGATGCAAAAGAGGACGCGCCTGAACTCCAAAGCCCTGACGAGCTTGCCCAGGAGCACGAGCATGGTCTTCCAGTAGACCCAGTCCTTGGTCACCAGCAGGGCCCCCAAGAGCATGGTCTCGAAGAGCTTCATGAGAGGTACCGAGACGCGCCCGCGCAGACCATCCACGAGCACGCCCATCCTCTCGACCTTCGTCTCCCCGAGGTGGGCCTTGTGCTCGGCCCAGGCCACGCCGTTGCGCTGGTAGGAAGCCCTCTGTTGCTCCTGGTAAGCAGAGCCGACGCCGACCTCCCCCTCGGTGTCGTTCACGATCCTGGGGGCATCGAAGTCGTCGATGAAGAACTGGTACCAAGACCTGCAACCGCCCACCTGAGCAATGGGAAGAGGCTTGTCCCTCCTCCACTCATCAACTTCAGGCAGGCCCGCTCCAGCGGGGGGAGGGCGCAGGCCCAGGCGTCTATGAAGGTGTTGGAATAGCGTGACGGCCAGCAGCCAGCCCATCGGTATAACGGCTGAACACACATGCACCGTCTTCAGATCTGGGCGGCCCACAAGGCGGCCGGGGACACGGCCCTTCAATGTCGTGAAGCTGCGCCAGGCCCGCGGGATCTTCCAGACAAAGAAGGCGCCCTGCTGGTCGTCACCCGACCAGAGCAAGACGCGCTGGCCCTCCAACACCACCGTAACCCAAGAGGTCGAGGCCGTCAGCGTCGACAGGTCCTGGGTCATGATCTTCAGGTAACTATTCGCTGGCACCATGTTCATGATGAAGCGGCACTGCCTCTGCTCACCAGCCTCGGGCACGCCCCTTTTCTCAACTGCGAAGGCGCCGTTGAGCACGGGGACGCCGTCAGCCCGAAAGATCTGCTCGTCCTCTATGGCCTCCACGATCCCCAGCGAGTACAAGTGGCCAACGATCCTCGCCCACTCCGCAGGCGAGTCGACCAGCAGCCTCGCCTTCGGAACCTCAGAAGGCCACTGGGCACGTGGCAGGAGGGCCACCGACGGGTCGTCCAACCAGGTGAGCACCTCAGGGCTGACGTGAGCACGAGGGTCCAGCCGGCCAGCGACATCAGCTGCTGGTAGGCCAGGTCGTAGTTCTCCCAGCCTAAGGGGCAGCGCACGCGTGCCACTGTCGATGTCGTAAGCGCTGGACGCCCGCGTCGAGATCTCACTAAGGAGGGGCAGCTGACACCTGCCAAGGTCGCCCCCGAGGAAATACGAGACAGCCTCCCTCATAACCTCGACGGCGTTGGCCTGAGCGGCGGAGTAGTGCGAGTGGTGGCCCCACGCCTCCTCCCCGCACGTGCCCGCATACTGGTAGTTCGTAAGCATAACCTGGATGAAGACCCACAGTTCGGCAGCGACAGCGCGAGCAGAAGGCCCATCAAAATCGGGTCCAGGTTCACCCGAAGTCCCCGCCGCTGACCCCCTCGACGTACCCTTCCAGGCTCTGGCACAGTCCAATGATGGAGCAGCAAGAGGCAGCACATCACGAAACCTCTGCCCCTGCTGCTGCGGTGAATGCGCGTGGTGAAGAAAACCCCGACAGAACCTGCCCAGCCTGCCAGGGTGTGTGAACATAGCATCTATCAGCCAGAGCGCGAAGGTGAGCGGGGTCATGCCATCCTCGAGGGCCGCAGCAAGCCTGGACTTCCAGGCCCTCAGGTCGGACATGCTAGTGAGCGTCCAAGGCCAGCTCGCTCCGCCGCTGGCACACGACGAATTAGCCTCGGTGGCATACGTCACCGCCGAGGTGCCGCCCATGGAGCGGCAGTCTTCTGCTTGGCGGCCTGGTTATGCGAGCCCTCGCCCTCCAGGATGACCTTGCGAGCACCGCCCTGCACTGGCGGCGCCTGCCTCTTGGGGCCGTCGCCCCGCATGAGCAGCGCCAGGCGCTGCCGGTACTTGCCCTGCGTCTCGCCGTCCTTCTTGTGGTTCTGCAGCTTCAATTCCTTGAAAGTCCTGGAGGGCCTGTCCGTCGTCGGGGGGCGTGAAGGCTGGCGACTCGCGCCCGCCACCTCTGCAGTGCGAGCCGCCTCCTGAAAACCCCGTCCTCCAGCTGGCCCACCAGTCGTCCCGTCGCTGGGGTGGCCTGCAGGGGTCGCTCCCATGCTGGGTGGAGCGGACCCCCGGCCGAGTCCCTAGCCGACAGGCTTGAGCTTCCCCGCGAGCTCGGCGAGCTTCAATTCGCCGTACTCGATCTTCCTCAGAAGCTCCTCCTCCTCCTCGATATTGATGGCAGCCATGTCGGCATCGGGAGGGATGAGCTCCAGCCAGCGCGCGCTCCTCCAATGCTTATCCTTGCAGGCGAGCTGGCAGGCCTTGAACCTCTGCATGAGCATGTCCATGGCCTCTGGGAGCCTCCCTTGGATCAAGAGGTCCAGGGACTCGGACAGAGTGCGCATCTGCCTGAACATGTCCTCGCCGATTGCTGAGACAGGGTGCGAGGCCAAGAAGATGTTCAGCAGGAACGTGTTAACTATCGGAGGGAGCTCTTCCTCGGCGTCATGCATGCCCTTCGTGCTGAGAAACTGATTGAGGTGCGACAAATGGGCCGTCAGCAGCTTCCCAGGAGTGTCGCGAGCAGTCCTCCTGAAGAACGCTCGTGAGGCAGCCAACGACTTCCCAGGCGTGAACTCCAAGCCGTCAGCGATGCCGAAGCCCTCGATACCCTCGGCAGGGGTGAGCGCGCCCAGCAGCGAGCGAAGGAGGTGGGCGGTAGACCCTCCGCCCTCACGCTCGGGCCCAGCGCCCGCCAGGCCTCCGCTGCCAGCTGCGCTACCGTCCGCGGGCCCACGCCTGGGAGCCTTCGCCGCCCTCTCAGCCAGGATCTCATCCAGGGACTTCCTCTTGAGCGGGGCCCCCTCGGTAGCGGCACCTCGAGGCTCGGCGGCAGCGTCGCCCTCGGCGCCCAGACGTCCCCTCAGGTCGCCCAACCTCTTGCGGAGGAGCGCCTGCATCTCCTCGTCAGGGCGGCGCCCTGCAGGCTCCTTCGCAACGGCGGCGGCGGCGGCCTCGAGCGGGGTCTCCCCGCCGGCGGTGCCGCGGGGGCGTACGCTCCCGCCAGGCAGCCCAGCGGGCTCCGACGCGGCCGCGGCAGGTGGCCGAGCTCGAGCGGGCGCCCGACCGCGCGCCTTGAGGGCGGCACGCCCAGGAGGGCCTGCGGCGGCGCCAGGCCCCTCCGCCTCTCGAACGGCCTCGAGCTCACCCGCGGAGTCGACGACCTTGGCGGCGAGCCCGAACTCGTCCAGCTCGGCGGGCACCAGCTCCTCGTCCACGGGATCCCCCAGTTCCTCCTCCTGCGGCTCGGGCCCCAGCTCGGCAGGCCAGCGCGCAGCAGGATTGCGTCGCCGGAACTGGAGGAACGCGTCCTCTACTGACTCAAGGACCACGAACTCGTCGACGTGCGTTACCTCCACGCCAGGGCCCGCCTCCGCAGCGCATAGGATGGCCGTCTCATCCTCTGGACAAAAATGAAGAACACGCTTTAACTTCCTGGCTCCAGGGGATCCCGCATTCTCTTCGTACCACTGCAAATACTGATCAGTGCAGAACAGGAACTCAGCGCGTGCGAACTGGCCATGCTCGCTCGCTTCGTACAGGCTGGAGATCCGAAACACGGCCTCGCCCTGTGCGGCGTCGGCGTCGTCGTAGCATGTGACCTGGATGAAGTCCCCTGCCCGCACGGCGCGGCCCTCGCCCACAGCCGCCGCCGTGGCGCCCTCGCCGTCCGCCATGCGGCCTGCAGAGGCGAGCAGCTCTCAGCTCGCTCGCGCGCCGACGTGCACCCTCGGTGCACTGAAAGTCCTCAGAGCAAGAAAGCTGCGAGATAAGATCGGCGATTTCTGCGGGACCCCCGAGATACCCCAATGACCTGTAGTCATAAGTCTGATATACAGCGCAGCCCCCCCCCCCCCCCAGCACCCACTGATTTTCATCGCGCCTCGCGCCGATCGCACTCGCATTTTCTTTACTGCCAGAATCGGTTCTCGCCCTGAGACAGCGGCATCGAATAATGAACGTCATCTGGAGAGCCAACCATTTGATCCTGCATCTCCTTCCCCTCTTTCACCTCGTCCATCCTCCTCCTCCTCCTCCTCCTCCTCCTCCTCCTCCTCCTCAACCTCAGAAGATGCAAGCGTCCGCTTCCCCCGCCTTTGGGAGAACAGGTATAAGATATCAGCGGCAGCGCTAACAAGAACGATAAGCGAACCATATGACTTCTCAAGCATTCCAGGGACGCACTGGGATGCTAAGTAACGATCGCTGTGCAGGCTCAGGGATCCCAGGGATTCCAGGGATGCGAAGTCACGATCCCTGAGCAGGCTCAGGGACCCCAGGGCTTCCAGGGATGCGAAGTCACGATCCCTGTGCAGGCTCAGGGATCCCCGGGATCCCAGGGATTCCTAACCCTCCAGCAAAACCGACCTGGGGATCCACCAGCGATCCCACGCTCAGAATCCCTGGGATCCCTGAGCCTGCTCAGGGATCGCGACGTCGGCTGTCAGCAAACCATATGATTTCTCAGGGATCCCAGGAATTCCAAGGATGGCAAGTCACGATCCCTGAGCAGGCTCAGGGATCCCAGGGATTCCAGGGATGCGAAGTCACGATCCCTGTGCAGGCTCAGGGATCCCAGGGATCCCAGGGATTCCTAACCCTCCAGCAAAACCGACCTGGGGATCCACCAGCGATCCCGCGCTCAGAATCCCTGGGATCCCTGAGCCTGCTCAGGGATCGCGGCGTCGGTGGTCGTCAGCAAACCATATGATGTCTCGGGGATCCCAGGGATTCCAGGGATGCCAAGTCACGATCCCTGAGCAGGCTCAGGGATCCCAGGGATTCCAGGGATGCGACGTCAGCATCCCTGCGCAGGCTCAGGGATCCCAGGGATCCCAAGGATTCCTGACCCTCCAGCAAAATCGGCCTGGCGACTTCGCAAAGATTTGGGGGGGTTGGGAATCCCTGGGGTCCCTGGGATCCCTGAGCCTGCACAGGGATCGTGACTTCGCATCCCTGGAATCCCTGGGATCCATGAGCCGGCTCAGGGATCGTGACATGGCATCCCTGGAATCCCTGGGATCCCTGAGACACCATATGGTTTGCTGACCACCGACGTCGCGATCCCTGTGCGGGCTCAGGGATCCCAGGGATTCTGAGCGCGGGATCGCTGGTGGATCCCCAGGTCGGTTTTGCTGGAGGGTTAGGAATCCCTGGGATCCCTGGGATCCCTGAGCCTGCACGGGGATCGTGACTTCGCATCCCTGGAATCCCTGGGGTCCCTGAGCCTGCTCAGGGATCGTGACTTCGCATCCCTCAAATCCCTGGGATCCATGAGCCTGCTCAGGGATCGTGACATGGCATCCCTGGAATCCCTGGGATCCCTGAGACATCATATGGTTTGCTGACCACCGACGTCGCGATCCCTGAGCAGGCTCAGGGATCCCAGGGATTCTGAGCGCGGGATCGCTGGTGGATCCCCAGGTCGGTTTTGCTGGAGGATTAGGAATCCCTGGGATCCCTGGGATCCCTGAGCCTGCACAGGGATCGTGACTTCGCATCCCTGGAATCCCTGGGATCCCTGAGCCTGCTCAGGGATCGTGACTTGCCATCCTTGGAATCCCTGGGATCCCTGAGAAATCATATGGTTTGCTGACAACCGACGTCGCGATCCCTGAGCAGGCTCAGGGATCCCAGGGATTCTGAGCGCGGGATCGCTGGTGGATCCCCAGGTCGGTTTTGCTGGAGGGTTAGGAATCCCTGGGATCCCTGGGATCCCTGAGCCTGCACAGGGATCGTGACTTCGCATCCCTGGAAGCCCTGGGGTCCCTGAGCCTGCTCAGGGATCGTGACTTCGCATCCCTGGAATCCCTGGGATCCCTGAGCCTGCACAGCGATCGTCACTTAGCATCCCTGTGCATCCCTGGAATGCCTGAGAAATCATATGGTTCGCTTATCGTTCTTGTTAGCGCTGCCGCTGATATCTTATACCTGTTCTCCCAAAGGCGGGGGAAGCGGGCGCTTGCATCTTCTGAGGTTGTGTTAGAAAAAGCATTCCGCTTGCAACACGTGACTCGGGAAGAGGAACGGAAAGGAGCAGGGATGATGAGAAGAGGATGCGTCTCCAGCTTCGTGGAAGAGGGAGAAGGCGTAGAGTGGGTGCTGGGAGGGGGCTGTCCATATATATATATATATACTTACACGCATACACATAAGCGATTACATATACATGTAAGCATATATATATATACCTATATATGTATACATACATATGTATATACGTATACACATACATGTACATATCCACATACATATACCGATACCGATACCGATAC